GTTGGCCTCAGCTGTGTCAATCATGGCTTCCTGGTTGCAATTAGGAGAGAACAACTCCTGGCATGTTTAATAAAGTGATTTTGAAGAAAGTTTAGGATTTGAAGCTCATATTTGGCTCATTGTCCAGATGAAACCAACAAACATTCACGCATGATGAGTTCATTGACTGTCGGAAGGTTGAAAATCTGATGATGCTTCCTGTTTTCAAAGTGTCATTTTGTATACTTGTAAGTTTCAAACCCACTGGGAGCTTTTGGGGTTCAGGAGATTGAAGAGGATCAACACCGAGACAAACACGAGATGTGAACTCACCAACTAAAAACCTTGATTTTTTGACTTCTGAGAGAAAACTTTCTAAACAGAGTTCAGCAAAGCGAACGTCCCTGAAAGTACGAGTTGGATGAAAGTGTTGAAAAAGATTCTGTCACACAAACAATTCCTGTCACTTTTGTTATTTGTTGCAGGAGAATAATTCATTTTCTGAGTCTCCCTCTGGATGTTCATTTCTTTTAGTTCTGTACTTTTGCTCTCTCTCTTGAGTTTAATCTGTTTTGTATCTGTCCAGAGTTCAGCACCAGTTTTGGCTGAAAACTGGCCTGATCTGGACTCCGGCTTTGGCCCGTACGAGCCCCTGCGTGGCCAAGCCGAGCTCGGGGCTCCGGCAGAGTTTCCTCAGAGCCAGGCTTATCCTCCCCACTGGAAAGCATTCATCCTGATTCTGAAATCCTTCCTAAATTGTTTTTATTGCTTTCTGCCTGGAGGGGAATGTGACGGCAGGCGTAATGAGGTCTAATGGGAGAGGGAGGGATGTGGACGGCTGGCTGTGCCCTTCATACCTCGCCTCCTATACCTCGTCTTCCTTAACCACAGAGTCTACCTGCCAAAGATGTGCATGTTTTAATCTTTCTTTGCAGTTTTCATGTTTCTCACCTACTGACTCGTGTCTCAGTATGCTATTGTCTCTTTTCTGAATGAATTTTCAGTGTAATGAAATGTCCTGCTGGTGGTTTTTCTTTACGTTTTGCCTCTAATTGGTTAGTTTTCCAAAGTAAAGGAACAGAAACTCCAAATTCCGGGAGTTGTGCACCACAAAAAAGCTGAAAGGTTGCTCAGGATCTGTCATGCTGTTTCTTGTGCTGCACTGAGAAGCTTTACTGTGACATTTTCTCTATGATTTTTTTTGCTCAAAAACACCACATTAAAATGAGTCTTTTTTTTTGGCTAACTTTAGCCACCAGCTGCATTTCTTCTGCTGCTTTACTTCTGCTCTCATCTCTGCTGTATCCCCCTTGAAAAGGATGATGAAGGTGTTCGATGTGCAGAATATGGAGGGAAAAATAACAGAAACACCACATGAAAGCAGACTTGTACTTTGAAGCGACTCAATTACAATTACAAAGGCATCTAAGAAGGTCAGCTTTATTACTGTGAATGCCAATTAGCAGCCTGTGTCAGCTCTGACAGGTCAAAGACGTAAACTGCAAACGACGGAAAAGCTACAATCGAAAAGTGAGATGAAGTGAGATGAAAATAGAGTGGCAAAAAGCTTCATGTACGAAAAGACAAATCGTGAGCTATAACTAGATGTTCCTGTGCTGCTGATCACATCCAAACCAACTCTCCTGTGAAGTTTGTCCAAACTAACATTTAACTGCTCAATATCCGTCAACTGTTTCTCAGCTTGTTGTTGAGATTTTTTTTAAATCCGTTTGTACTCAAAGACCAGAAACCAGACTGTTCATGGTGTCTTCCAGGGGATCCCAGTTTATTCCAGCCTAGTGTATTTCTCATTACTGTGGCTCCAAGTGTCATGAAAACTTTGTTCCTCTGTTGTAGACATTCAGGGAACCAGAATCAATCAGCATGAGCTCCCTGCACCTTTCCAAAGAAAACTTTTTTTTTTCCCCACAAATAATTTTAAATGCTTGTTTTCAGTCCGACAAAATTAAATCCCAAAATCAGCCGGCTGGTACAACTTTGCCAACTGTGTCGTCGTTTACTGAGCGTCTTTGTCTTTCCTCTCAGCTGATGTTGGCATAGTTTAAAACATCGTCTCCAGGATGTTTATCAGAGCTGCATATTCATAAGTTGTAGCTCCACAGCCGGGACTACTCTCATTTATGGACACAAGGAGATTTTTCTCAGTCTGCCATCAGCAGGTTTCACTATTTGCAGCAGCAGTTTTTCCTCCTCAGTCTTCAGTGAGAACAGAAACACCACCAGGTTCCAGATTTCAGGATGTCCTGCTGTCTTGTTTTTTTTTTCATTTATTTTTTTTAACATAAAACCAAACTGGCATGGGCAGAGGACTATACCTATACTAAGACACCCTTATGCAGGGGTGTCAATCTCAAAAACACAGTGGGCCAAAATTTAAAACCTGAACAAAGTCACGGGCCAACATTGAACAAATGAACCTTTTAATAAGGACTGAAACGAATTTTGCTTTAACATTGAACATGGAACAAGCAACGCTTATTACCATACATTATATATAACTTAATAATGGAGACATGCAAAATCAAAATATAAATAAAAAAACACATCAATGGCACAGTGACAGTTGTAGTGTGAAGTCGCTATGCCTACTGTCACAGAGGAGAGGGAGTTTCTGGGTCCTGTCCTGATTGACGTACCAAAACAACAACAGGGCATTATGGGATTTGTAGTATTAGCGGTGAATGCGCTGTACAGTATAATACCGGGGGCAGCTCTAGTAGTCATTTGGTATTGTCTCGCGGGCCAAATATAATTACAAAGCGGGCCAAATTTGGCCCACGGGCCAGAGTTTGACACCCCTGCCATAATGCATTTACCAAAACACCCTTTCCAGGCAGCTAATTTCTGTGTTTATCTTTGGTCCCACTGAAAGCAAATGGGTTGGTCAAGTCATCGTAAGTGACGTACCATAATTTCCGGACTATTGAGCGCACTTGAATATAAGTCACACCCACTAACTTTAAAAAGAAAAAAATGTTGTACATATGTAGGCCGCACTTGTCTATAAGCTGCAGGTGTCCACGTTGTAACATGAGATATTTATACAGAAAGATTTTTTGGTTGTGTAGCAGTAACATACACAAATACGTAAATGCTTTGTTCTGAACAGAGCCTGTAGCACGGCTGGTTAAAAAAATAAAAACTACAGTAGCCTACCAGGAAAAGACACCGATCTCTATCTTCATCTTCCTCCTGCGCACTAAAACCACTAAAGTCGTCTTCTTCAGTGTCAGAATTGAACAGCCTCAGAGTTACTTGGTCACACACTTCCTCAATCTCTCTTTCGTTGTCGCTCTCAATGTCACTTTCATCTCGAGGCAAAAAAATCGTAAAAATCCATAAATAAGCCGCATCATTGTTTAAGCCGCAGTGTTCAAAGCGTGTGAAAAAAGTAGCAACTTATAGTCCAGAATTTACAGTCGTACATAGCTTTTCAGTAAAGAAATAAGATGCTGGTGAATGCAATGCCTGCTTT